TCCCAGCTGAACTGACACGTTGACGTTGGATACGGAGGAGGTGATCATCACAGGGGCATCTAAGTGAGGGAGGCGCCTGAGGAAAAGGAGGGTGGGCAAATAATCTAATGGACTACACAACACAACGACGTCATGGAACAACAATACAGAATGAGCGCAAACACACATGGATAGGGAAGAGAAGACAATAAAAAGGGTATTAGATGATATTGTATGTTATCGTCACTGCAGTGGGTGACCTTGAACACAGATCCAATCGCTCCAGAAAAGATATCGTCATAGTTCAACCCCAACATGAATATTAATTGCCATTCAGCAATCTAACCCTTCTGTTTTCCTTTTGAGACTTGCCTTTTTCTATGTGCTGCCTTCCTGTGGATAAGCTGTTCCCATGGAAATAGATTTAGCCAATGGGAGAACTCCTGGTGACGGTAGTGGATGATGCAAGTGTTGACAGTGAACGACCCTGAGATGTCCACTGATGTAACCTAAATGTAGGCAAACACAAGAGACAGTCAAAATAATGTCAAATATGAGTCATAGGTTTCAGAAGCTTTGTGTTGTGACCTTCAAGTATCTTCCTCACCTGCAGGACTGTCTTCAGCGTGTTCACACACAGGATTCTTTGCCTACTTTGTGAGAGGAGAAGTCCATCTGCCAGTGAAAAAAAGGGGATGTGTTATTATTGCTTTCTTTAATTCATTCACGTCTCTCTGCATTGCGTCCGTCCACTCACCCTCTAGAAGGAGCTCCATTCTGCTCTGAGGAAAGCTCAGCTCTGGAGTGAAGCTTTTAAGATGAAGCTGTTCATCGTCACGTCCATAGCAGACTTTTAGAGACTTCAGAGTCCAGTTCAGGTGTCTGTGCAGACAAGAAAACAAGGTATGAGGTTAAAATCAGAAGGTCATTCAATATGGAATCAAATGGTGCAAAACAACATCTAAATGCAGTCGTTGTTTATGTTTACTCACCTTTTCTGGCTGTGCATGGACAGAGTTACATTTGTATTATCAAATTCCACATCGACTTTTTGGGGAACCAGCCCATGAAACCATTCCACCGCCTCAGTCTGGATAAACTCAATGTTTTCACACTCTGAAAGGAAATATTAGTAATATTATAATTTAAATATTATGTACGATTCTATCAAAGACTTTTGAAAGTGCTACAGCTAAACAATCTATTTGACAATTGAAAAAACAAATACTATCACATTTCCATTTAATACAAATCCTTTGTCTGATTTTTCTTTCAACTTGTTTGTGTGTGTGCTGTATATCAGATAACCTGAGTGAGCTAATATGTCACATTCAGGCAACACTATCAACCTTAACAATGTCTATGCTACTTTATTAACAATGCATTTCTTAATTTCTCATATAGTTAATAATGTCCCAAAAGACCTGCAGATATATCAAATATATATTAAAATAAATGCAAGAACACATGTAAATGTTATTCTAAATACCTGACATCATTTTTACCAACCTCTTCTCGCTTTTTAAAATGACAGCATAACCTACACTTCATTTGATCGAGGAGGTTAAACGTTATCTTTTCCCCTGAGCATGTAGAGATTTCAACAACTACAGAGGTTAATAAAGTAGGTTGTTGTACGACATGACCTTGTCCTCGTTTTCTTGGCGGTTAGCAGAACAGCTAAAAATATCACAGACTGCAGTAGACATCCAGACATTTTAGAATAAGCAGAAGCTTACTGATGAAAGTCAGTGGAAATAACCCTTAGTGTTGTCATGGTAAACGTATGCTGTACTTGTTGTAAGTGCAAGTACAGAGGATTATATTAGGCAATAAAGAAAAAATACAGCCAACAGTTGGACTACATTTATATACTTGTTATAAATGTTGACATGCACTCCTCCTGCAATCAACCAGCATCCCAGATGTGAGCTGAACATCCCAAGATTGATTGGTCATTGCCATAGCAAGTTTGTCACTTTATTTTAATAATGATTTTGACATTTCAGGGATTAGGCATGCGTTTGCTCACCAGATGCATCCTGAATGCTCCTTTTGGGAGACGAGGGCAGCAGGAGTTGGCTGAGAAATAGTCCTTCATGCAGCTCTGCGATCAGTGTCCTCACATTCAGGGACAGACCGCCTGGCTTCATCTCCGGTAGGCTCACCTCTCCAGACAGCAGCAGGCTCAGGGCCACTTCAGCCAAACATATATCCTACAGTGGAGAGCATGTTAGTCACACATTCAATCCCAAGTGTCCATCTCAGAGAAATTACAAAAACTTACCAACTGACTGCTTTTAAGCACTTTACTGCTTAGCTGTCCAACTGAGAAGTCCCACGCCAACCTGATATGAAAGTTAAAACGTTAATGAAATTGTAGCATCATCCGTATATTTCTATTAAATGTAATAGTAAAATCAGACCAATAGCAGACAGAAATGATAGAGTGCATCACCTTTTACTTTGGTGGTCAAGTAACAAGGTGATGCCTGTAACTGTCATGTGCCATAGAGACTCTGACAGTGCTAGGTTCAGAACCATCACATTGATCGAGCTGACGTGGAACGACAGTAGCTGAAAATAGATAGATAAGAAGGGGTAAGATAATGTCTACAAATAAGTCTATTTAAAGATTGAGATACGTTGAGGCTCCATACTTGCGACAGAAAGCGTAGCGTTGTGGGGCTGATGGAAAACTTCCCAGACTTTTTCCCATGGCTCTTCGTTACCGTAGATCTGAGTGGTGCTTGCAAGTCAAACCTAACTCTGGTTTCGCCAACACACAACGCCAGGTACCTCCTGCAACACAAACATGCACTAGCTGTTGCAAATAACCACGGTATTTTCATATATAAAAGGATTCAAATCTTTTACTGATTTGCTGATAGATTTTATCTCTAACTATCCAACTGACAAAGAAATGTGACAACTTACGGCAAATCCTGGTTGAGAAGTTTACTTGAAATCCATATTCTGTCAATTTCCTGTCAAAAAGATAATCCCTTTTTATGGTGAAGTCAAAAAGTACCTTTGATATAATTGTTGACAGTTTATAAACAAAAAAGGTTTACTGGCCATTACCGGGTCAAACTGTTACTCCTGAAATGGGAATAGTGGCCTCCAATGAGCTCACTACATAAATGTCATGTAAACACAGTGTGTCTTACCAGAGTGTGCTGGGGGTGAAACTGGATACTAACTCCTTGGACAGAAAACAGCCCGACTGATTTGATCTTCAGATCAGCATTCAGGGCTGTCTGGAAGAATCGCACAGCCAGGGTGCATACGAGCCACCTAGGAGCAAAAGACAAGAGCACAAAATCATTGATTTCGTAAAAATATGTAAAGAAAACTATGAAAACCAAGGACAGGACCTATCTGGGGTAAACTGAATGTTGCCTACAGAGTATCATTAGCAATCACATATACTGTAGGAATTAAATGACTTCTTACCTGAAAATGAAACATAACAACAAAATCCCAAGCAGAAGAATTAACAGGAAGGATATCAGCAAGAGAGACATGGTGTCCCAAGTTGTTCACACCCAAATCTCGGTCATGGGTCTGGCTGCTCCTCTATCAGCTGCTGTCAGAGGAAGAGATGCACTTCAGTTCAACACACCTCACACTCAGGTGGGACTGACGGGTTGCTATAAAACAACAATCAATAACTTGTCCATCACTGCAACAGGCTAAGCAACCTCTGCTGTGAGAATTAATAAACGTTGGTTCTGTTTGTTTCAGCTAACATCACAATGCTAACAAGGCTAGTTAACAAGTGCAGTCACAAACAGAACATGTCGCTAAACTTTATCTCCTACTGTCACTAACAGTGTTAAAACATGTCGCATAAACTAAGTCATTGTTTGCTACCAATCAGTGGCAGAACATTGGCTCGTTAAGAGTAGCATAGTTAGCCCAAATTAGTCAGTCATGAAATAGTTAAAGATGATTGTCGCCGCGTCATCCAAAGATCAGCAGCAATTCTGTGCTAACAAGCTAACGCTACAGCTAACTTTGCTAGCACAGCTGCTAGACTGCTACACAACTTGGCATTGTTTATGGTAACTCGTGTAGATGTATGTTGCTTTCGCAGGCTCCAGTTAAGTATAAAGATGACTTACCCTGACATATTCACAGCATTGTGTTTCGCTGCAAAGAGCCCTTTCATCTGACAGTAACTCTGTGCTCAGTCAACACTGTGCTCCGCCCTGCTCAGCTGGCACTTCATCTGACCTGCAGCCCAGAACTGGCACTACAGTGGCTAGAGCACCGCCAACAAAAAACTGTGTATGCAAATATTAATCTTTAACTTATGCATTCAAACAAAAAGGTCACCTATTTTTTATATATCACACCCACACAAATTCATACACACATAAAACATAAAACAAACACACAGTCACAGTGGTGGAGTCTAACGTTTAGTCCATTTTGAAGGTACTGCTTTTCCATTATACTTATTTTGACATGTAGAGGCAAATATTTTATTCTTTACTCTACTACATGTATACGATAGCCTTTGTTTTTAAGCTCATTTAGATTATCACAAAAATAAATCAACACCGTCAATGGCTACAGCTACACAGAGAAAGTTCATTTTGAAATCAGACCCACCTTTACCAGGAGCAACATTAAAATGAAACACACATTAATGCATTATTATAAAAAAGTATTGTAATATATAATTCTGAAATTGCCCATTCTGCACAAGTACTTTTACTTTTTATGCACTTTAAATATATTGATGCCAATGCTTTTTTATTTAACATTATGAATGAGGACTTTGATTTGTTGTTTTGATTTGTGCTTCTATGCTGTGGTAGCCTATATCAATCAAGAGAAACACTTACATATTTCTTCCAACACCCCACAGTCATAATCAAACTATTTTACGAAGGTGAAAAGATAAAGAGACAACATTTATTTCAACATGATGAATCTTTACACATAAGTAATTTTAACACATGACTGAACTATTGCTACAACATGCTACAACATGACACAATTCAAATAGCAACAATAAGGATATTTTATTACATCATGTTAATATTTATCATTGAAACTTGTGTTTTGATTGCACTGTAGATTTGTTCTAGATGACAATGTTTTATCCATCTAACTTATGCACAGGAATCTTGCAGCCTAATAGTATTATACAATGGTTTTATGGAGGGTCGACATGATCCTAACATTGCCCCTATCTCTTCCTTATTGATAGAAACATTATATGGAAAAATGTCCATCATAATGAACAAGTGGTCCTTTCACAAAGTGCTGCCAATGTAACTGTGCCATATGGCATGCTTCCAGGTGAAAATGTATTTCATACTGTCAGCCTTAGGATAATTGAGTTGTCATAACAAGGAGATTTACACCACAGGTGCCTTGTAAAGCATCTTATCATTATATGAACTGTTGAGAAATGGGTGGTGCAAAACCTCTTCATCTCATGCCGCAGCTTTCTGTTTGTTGTGTTTGGCAAACCACTCATCACTTTTATCTTCGGCCATAGCCTGAAAAAAAACAAGATTAAAAGTTGAAATAAAACAGACATAGTGAATATCAAACACATGGTGCATATTAAATCATATTAAAGAGAGTTTAATACTTGAGTAACACCAACCTTATCAAGCAATTCATTTCCTTTGGGGTCCACCATAGACAGTTGGCTAAAAGCTTCATCACCCACAAAGCAAATCTCATGACCATCCTAAAACAAAAATTGTCCAGTTAAGTTTTTTTCATTTATAACATAGTCTAATTTCACTTTAATTACAGCGCTAGATTTTTAATGCACTTACTGGGTCGGCCAAAATGACCACTTCTACTGTGGCCTTTCCAGGAGTGTCTAGGCTGACTAAGGGAGTGAGAATCTTCTGATTTTCCTTTTTCATCAAGGCTTCAAGGCCAGGCAGCTGTGGAATGTAATAAAATGATTTATGATAAAAGATATGATTGTTTTTAATGTTATTAACAGCCAAGAATGTATCCATTAAATAATATTTTACTTGTTCACGTGGGCATGAAAATGCTATCCTTCCAAAAGCAGTTCCATGATCCACTGCCCCACTGTTATCATGAAGCTCCAGTTTACACTGCATCAAAATACAAAATAAAAAGTCTGAGTAAAAGAAATGTTCTAATTCATAAACTCAAAAAACATTTATGAAATACTTGACTCACTTGACTGTCTGAAAATCCAATCAGCACAGTTTTCTTTTCCTCATTATTTTCCAGAACTTTCATTCCCAAGAGCTTAGTCCAGTAGTGGGTCGATGTCTGGAGGTCTGATACTCCAAGACAAACCTTCTGCACGGGGTCTTAGAACAAATGCGCCTGCTGCTAAGTACTGCATGAAGGACTTCGTTTTTAATATGGGTCGTTTGCATAGAAATCACATTAGGAAATAATGACAGTGAAAAAATGACATATTATAACATACTATAGACTAGAGGCTTCAATACAAAGCAAGTGTTTATCTGTATTTCAATTTTTTTTTAAAAGTATTTGCACCTGCAGATAATTATAATTTTTTTATTCAATGTTATTGTTTATTAATTAATCAATTAATTATTTACTCAATAAAATACAACATATATTTGGATTAGTTTAATTAGTTTTACCAGTAAAATAAAAAGGAATGAGTTTTGCTATACATAAATCGTATAATGCTTTGCATTTGTGAAGCTGTGACACAAATGCAAAATTGGACTGTTTTAAACACTGGATAAACTGCAGGGATGACTCCTTGTCATCATGCAGACATGTGACACTCACCACTAGAAGGCTGCTCTTTGTCCACAAGGTAGAATGGATACCCTCCGGGGGCCTGGGTCAGATACAGAGCCTCTCCCACCTCAGTGAGAGGCCATCCCAGGCGTTTAGCATTGCGTACAGCCTGGCTCGACTGCAAAGTGAGTCCCTGAAGTAAACATATGTGTCAATATCCTTTTAGAAGACTGTCGTACCCAGTAAAACACGACATGGTGCTGTAAGTTTGGAAGATGAACTCTCACCCACCAGGAAGTCATTGCCAAGTTGATACTCTCCCACCCCATAATTGTATGTCAGTTCAGCAACAAAATGGTCATCTTCTGGACCAAAGCCCACCATTGTCTTGCTCCATTTGCCCTCGTAGGGACTGTATAGACACAGGGGGAGAGGAGACGTCGGTATAAGGACAATAACAGCTCTATATGTCTGTGTTATACAGCTGTGTAAGTTCAAAGTGCAAAGGTGTCATATCTACCCATTACACGTTGCTTTGCAGCCTTCCTCAAACTCTTCATGACGTAAAATCTGAAATGGAATAATAAGTATGAGAACACGTTTATTAAAAAGACTCTGGTTGTACCAAATATGCTCTATAAGTGGTTTTATATACACTTCATATGTATATAATGGAGTATAGCTGGGGTTCACTCATGTGACAGAAGAGGAATTAGCTAGCTACACACGTTGTACAACACAACAGTTAATCAATGGCTTCTGGCTATAACATAAACCTCAAAAAGAGTACCTTCATGCCCAGAACATCTCGATAAAACGTGGCAGTTTTGGCCCTGTCACCAACTTTGAAAACAAAATGCAGCGCTCGCCTCAAAGCCATGTTTAGTGACAGGAGGATGTCTTCTGTAGTGCCGATCGAGATTCAGGGAACGATTAGTCACCCTTGATGATCGATTATTCTGACATCGATGAGCGAAAAGTAAATATAAGTGATAAAACAGCATTAAAGTCTTTAGACATCTATGTTTAATACTTTTGTTAATCATATAATAATTATTGTATCAATAATATAATGTGTATTTAATACAAATAATAGATATACAATACGTTTGCCCCCACCCCATAATTACGGTTAATGGTATCACCCAGTATCACCCAAACTCATTCATATGCTGAACAACAACAACAACAACTTTGACACTCCAAAATAGGAAATTAAAATATAAGAATACAAGATACAACATTCAAAAAAATGGAAAGTGTGTGTGTTAGCTACACAGGGTATCTTTTAACTCGAACTGAGGCACTAGAGATGAAGATTACATGTAGTATTGCCTTCACTCCAGACGGAGGCGATAGGCGGCAGAGCTTGTGTTAGTGCAACGTTCTGTGAAACAAGAGAAGAAGACACGGGGCAAACATGGCTGCCTACATGAGAAGCATGATATGTCTTGTTTCCATTGAGCGTAACGTTTTTCTACACTCAAGGGGAAGTGGTGTGATTGTGGAAACCAAGCGGTATGTACGTGGACTGAGGAGGAACCCAGTCCGAGTGTTGTTCCCTGAAAACGAGGCGGGTAAAGTCGTCAAGCCTCGGCCTCAGCCAGCAGGACGAGACGTCCACGGGGAGAAGGGGCAAAAAGTCAAAGCTGCAATAAAGCATCCTGAAGAAGATTTTGTTAAAGCGAGGAGTAATGTGCAGGCGACTACAACACATGCCCATGTTACAGGTACAAAGGATCAAATTGATGGACTGCGCTTCGAGAGGGCTTTCCCTGGAGATAAAAGACTGGGGTAAGTTTTACAATAATGTATTCAGATATTTTACTTTACTGAAATTAGCTATATTTACTGTGTAAAAAAACCCTCTGTTGAGGTCCATCATTTAAAATATAACTCAAGTAAAAATATAAATTAAAGTAAAAGTACTTATTTGTTTTTTTAGATATTGTTTTATCTAATATCATAATTATATTATGTTACTAGACTATACGTAGGCCTAGAGATATTGTGTATTTTGCTTAAAATAGAGTAACTTACTTTCCACCACTGCAATTAACAATACTGGCATTAAAGCTAAAGGTTATTTTTGTTTAATATTACTTTATCTTCTTTTTCAGTCTCAGATTAAGGTGTAACATAAGTCCGTTTTTGAAGTGCTCTATTTCTTTCCCAAATTGTATTAATGTTGACAATAACTCATATTCACACTGCCTGTGATTGATCCTTGTCTCTCCATCTTCCCTTGAACCTCCTTCAGGAAGTTAGTTAGCATCACTCGTTCCAGGACGTTTCGGGAGCACCAAGGTAAAATCCTCCTGGAGGGCAGGCGTCTGATCTGTGACGCCCTGAATGCTGGAGCCAACCCACATATGGTGTTCTTCAGTACCGCAGACCGTCTCAGAGAGCTCCCCTTAGACAAGCTGAAAAGGGCCACGTTGGTCAAGGTCAAATTTGAGGACATCAAGATATGGTCTGACGTTGTGGCCCCACAAGGGGTTATTGGTGAGTGTCACATATTAAGACTTGTTTCATAATGAAGCACAGGTACAATGAGCCGTTTCTGACTTTTTAACTTTTTCTTCTGCAGCAATATTTGCTCGTCCAGACCCGTTACGGTTGAACTTTGCTAACAAAGGTGACTCGGTGCCATTGTCCTTGATATGCGACAACATCCGAGACCCTGGTAACCTTGGCACTATGTTGCGATGTGCTGCTGCTGCTGGCTGCCATGATGTCCTCCTCACCAAAGGTATTCTTATTAAGTAAACATTCATACAGGTGAACTACACCCTTTTGATAATGGCTTTTCTTCTTAAGTTGTGTTTTTAAAGTCTGTTACATTTTTCCACCACCAGGTTGTGTTGATGCTTGGGAGCCTAAGGTTCTGCGTGCAGCAATGGGCGCCCATTTCCGCCTTCCCATCTACCAGAGCTTGAGCTGGGACGATATGGAGAAGCACCTCCCGAAATCTGTGACTGTGCATGTGGCTGACAGCGGCGCTGACAGAAGTGAAGAAATAAAGGATTTACAAGTTAACGTGTCCCACAAGAAGCTCAAAGCAGGAGACTATGGATGGGTCAGCACTAAGTCTAACCGCAACAACGATTCCTATGAGGAATACAATTCTGACACGGACTCAGATTGTGAGGAGGGGGCACAATCACTTCCCACAGTGGACTCAAAGCGGTACCATGAGAGCTGGGCTCAGAGTCCCACTGCTCTTGTGATAGGCGGAGAGACACATGGTCTGAGTGTAGATGCAGTACAGCTGGCTGAGAAAACTTCCGGTCACAGGCTCTTTATTCCTGTCGCTCCGGATATGGACAGCTTGAATTCAGCCATGGCTGCCAGTATCCTTTTGTTTGAAGGCAGGAAACAGCTGTTAAAACTCACCTAGGCACTTGGAAGGAACCGACATCTAAAGCCCAGCAGCAGTTTTCATGACCGCTCTAAATATCAGTGTGTTACATCTGGTGTCAATTTGTCCTTGTTACTACAGACTGAGTTGAATGATCTAATTTTACATCTTCTCCTGCTAATAAAAAACTGAATTTTGTATGCAATGAATATTATGTGTCATGAGTTTCTTTGTTGTCACATTTATTTTAGTTAACTGTGATAATTGTTCACGTTATTTTTGACTCCGTGATTTATTTTTCCAACATATAATCTGTAAATTCTCATCTTGATAATTTTGTATGTAAAATGAAACAAAGTTGAAATTCTCATTAGAATTTCTCATAACCCTCAAATTAAAAATATGTGCAGTGTACTACTATAGACAAGAAAAGCCATGTTTAATTCACAATAAGAAACATTTTTTGGCTAAAATAAAGATTGGCATTAGAAAAAGTTGACGACTCCTGGTCTTCCTAAAAAAAAAAGTCAAACTAGTACCCCCACCCTTTTCTTTCACCTCCGACCCTTATATAGATAGAAGCACTTGACGAATATATAATCTAGATTTAGAAAGTAAAAGACAGTCTTATCTTTTATATCTGCTGCCACATTGCAAATATGCAGAAGACACTACAGTTTTATCCCAAGACTGCACATTAACAAATGATCTGTCTGCCATAATAAATAGAACATTTGCATTGAGCCCAAACATCTTATTGAAATGGTGATTCATTGCAATATATGCATTTTAAATATCCAAGAGCTAACTTTATTGATGGAAGTTAAAAGGAGCAGAACTTTGAGCTTGCCAGTGACATTTTAATGGGTGTGAGAAGTCATGACTGAAGTAAAATAATACAGGGATTTATATATTCAACATTTTTCCAATGCCATTTCTGTGCCTTCAGAAATAACCTGACCTTTTCATCAGGGGATATTCACAGAAAATCCTCATGACTTTGAGATGAGAGCCACCATTAACAACTGGCAAGAGAGGACTTTCGCTCACAGCACACACAAGACACAGGGGTTCAAACACTTCAGTCATTGGTCTGTTACAAGCAAGTATAATGTGATCATTACTGTATGTGCACCTGTTTTTTTAGTTTAAATAGGCTACATCCAGCTGAGGTTCAGCACATTTGCACTACTAGTGAATTACGACTGTAAAAATGCATTTTATTCTTTCTCAACATCATTCAGAAACCTAAAGCAACAAGGATCTCGCAGACAAAACAGAAAGCACACAATCAGCTGAATAAGTAGGTCCACTGGGTGATTCTCTGGTTTTATCTAGAGTACAGAAATGCTATTGGGTGAAAAAAAAGAAAAAATATGTGTTCTTCGGCCAAAAAACAACAGAATCTCCATTTGTATTATTGTAGGGACTATCATCAATGCAAGGCACCACAGGAGAAAGAGAGGACTCAATGAAAAGAGGAACATGTCTAAAAGAAAGTTGTTAAAATGTCAGTAAAAATTGAGACATCTCTCTAACAGCCTGACAAAGTCAGGGGGGAAGTGGGAGAGATAGTGGGAGGGTGAGGGGGAGTAGCAACAGGTCAGGGTTCGATGATGGAGTGAGTCCCATATAGTAGGTCCGATTTACACTTAGTCTTCCTCTTTAGATGGGCTCTGGTTTGAGCTTTTCAGCCAGGAAGTCGTTGACAAACTGCTCCACTTCGGCCGGCGTGATCTCCTCCACGTCGCGAACATACTTGGCCCGGGCCGACATGTCCAGGATGGTGAGCAGAGGGGCTGCTTCTGGGAGGTTGGTGTAGTCCCGCAGGGAGTCACTCATGTCATCCTGTGGTGAGGGAAAAACTGATTAGGTGTGTGAGCACATGATGTTACAGTAGAACATTCATCACATGCATTTTTGGATTGCTGGGAACAGGCCTTAACTAAAGCTTCTGTTTTAAGAAACTTAAATGATCTTGTTGGAAAGTCAAAAGTAGGGATGTCTGCCGTTTTTCTCTGACAAATACCCTGGCAAAAGTTAAGTCTACTTTAAATATGGTAAAACGGTTCAAACAAATGTTTCAACACAAAATAGCTTGGCTCTGAACATATAACTTTTTTCCCCACAGCTTTCCTCATAAAGTTGTTTAAAGAACTCAGTATTATCTTCTATGGCTTGCTCAAAATGTTTAAAATGGTTTGCAAATATGATTGGAGACCCAACACAGGAGTAATCTAGTAATTCTGGTGCTGAGAAGTTCATAAAAAAAGGAAACGTGTGTGCAGGAATTCAACCTTTTTCTTTTCTATGATATCATTTTCTTGCACACCAATCAACTAGGTGCCAAGGAGATGTTTTGTTTTTTTAAGGGGTTACAGGTAACACACATTAAGCTGGGAACCACTGGTTTAGACTGCCATCTTCATCTACAGCATGAACAATCTACAGTGTGTTGGTGACTGGTTGCAGTGTAAGTGGGGTTGGGCTTCTATATTTGCCCTCATCTCATAATCCTTTCACGCTCACATTGCATTTTAATGACTTTGACAAACAAGCAAGTCAAACACTGGATAGGATCTTTGAGAGGAGAAACATTCCTCCACTGCTTGTCATTCCAGACTTGCCTTTGTCTGAGGAAACTAGGACAGCACCCATTGCTCAAACAATGCCAAGTAAAAATTACCCTGTAAAATTCAAAAGTGCAGCACACAATGTTTAACCCTCTTCTTGAAAGAGAAAATGAAACTCTCTCTCGTCTTCCTGCAGGGAGCCGGCCCTGAGGGGCCACAGTGTTGGTGCTTAGTCACACATCCTGCTGTTTGGGAAGACAGGAAGGAACCAGGTAGGGGTCCAACAACATCTGTCAGTTTTCAAAAGCTCACTCAGGTCAGATATAAATCTCATCACAGCGTTTGAATGGCACATGTGGGCAGGACAGGGAGCGGTGCAGAGTTGTGAAGGAATATGTTACAAAAATATTGCTGCTGGGTTTTGAGGGGATTCCACTTGTATTTCTTTGCAGTTATTTTGAAAGGGCTTTACTCGTGTTCTGCCTGAGGCTTGATGTCACCTTTCACAAATCAGGATTGCAACCCCTGTTGCCAGAGTTAACATAATGAATAACCAGAAGGCAGCCAGGGACTTTCACACAAGCTTGAAAGGGCCATTAATTATGGAACTGAATATGAAATCACACACTTACAGTATGTAAGTCAGCTCTAGTTTCAGTTGGGTGTGCTTCTGGAATTCCTACCTTGAACGAGTTATATTATTCCTGTAAAATGTTCTTTAGATCAAAAGGATTTATTGTGTTATGTTTTGAAGGGTCACACAGTTCCCTTGTTAGAAGTGCAAACTATCATTCTCCTTAACTCATGACAGCGTGACATGATTTCCCCTCAGCTTAGCTGGCTGGCTCAGAGGGAGACTCACAAAAGATTAAAGTTTCATCAGTTTCATATGGAAAAGATTATGTTGAAAATTCAGAACTAACAGGAAAGGGCCAGAGGGTGGCACTGCAACAAAGAGTTGGACCTCTCTGATGTTAATACTGGTACTGATTTATGTGCCAATGTGAGTTGTCAAAACAAAGTCAAAGATTAAGCAACTTTGGATGGATTTCCAGCTACATTAAACGCTCAAGCATTCTCTGCTTTCAGGCCTCTTTGTTATGTCTTCCCTGTTATCAGAAAATCCGCAGCTATTCTTGCTCAATGGATCAAAAAACCCAATCATCCCTTAGACTTCTCCTTGAATAGCTCTGCTGAGCTGCTACCTAAAAAGGATAAGTATGCCAAGATGAAGTTTGTGACATCGTCTTCGCAAAACTGCTAACAGATGTAACCGATGAGTTGCAGTGTGGTATTTTGTCTTAGGCAGCTAACTTCCTCTGAATGGAACCCATTTTTTTCTATTGCAAATCACCTTAGATTGTCCACTTGATTCTCACAGATGTAAGCTGTCAACAAAGGGCAATATTGTTAAAATACTGGTTGATTTTCCTACTAAAAATACAGGCTTTGCATTGTCTGCTTTCTTGCAGGCCTACAAAGTGTAGATTATAGATCATCTGGGCACTATGTGTAAAGAAGCCACAAACAGTGAAATTCCACAATCTGTCACTGTGGCCTTTCCAGGCTCGCCGATATGAGGAGATGTAATCTCTGAATCGATCTTGGCCTTCCTAGGAAGTCATGCATCTTCTTTTGTGTGCCTTCTCTGCTTGTGTACACTGCTTCTAGTGAGGGGCAGCCATACCAGAGGCCCCCCCGCCCTCTGAAGCTCAGCTCAGAACCAAAAAGACAAAAGGGCCTCTCTGCTGCAGCCCGGACTCACAGCTGTGATAAGGCTCAGCGTGTGTGTACGCTGTGGAACTTGCTGGGCCGTGTCAGGATTATTCCGATTATTGATGCACTGAGGCATTTCCAGCTGATAAGGCCTGAACTGGTAATGATGAACAAACCTCCCCTCTGGCCTCTGAGCAGAGGCTGCGTCCTTCTCACAAAGTCTTAAGATAAAGTCATTATTGGGAAATCTTTGGTTTTCCCAAGATCAATTGCTCATCAGTTTATGTTAGTAAAAGCAAAAACATCTTTGCCTGGTGGAATAAACGAGAATCCCTTTAAAACTTCAGCTCAAGACAAAAACAAAAATGATGAATGCACAAACAATGTATTTGACCCTACATGAAGGAAACAGCTGCAGTCCTCTTTATCTAAATACTATAACTCATTTTTAAATATTTAGACTTTGTGGATAGTGGAATACAATGATTCATTGAGCTTTAGTGCCAACAGTCACACTTTTATGTTTTTGTCTTTTGAGCAAAGAAACAATTAAACATTCAATGTGTTAATAAAGATTATTGAAAGTCTACATGACACTCTTGCAGCTCTGGGGAGCTTTATTTTAGCTAATTGCTAACGTCATTCTCACAGTGACAATGTTAACATGCTGACGTTTAGCAGGTGTAATGTATACCTTGTTCACCATCTTAGTTTAGCATGAGTAGGCTAACATTAGCTAAAAACTGGACACTCCTCTGTTCTCTGGTCTTAAAAATATTGAACAAATTCAACATTTGGCCTGACGATGGCGCGAGATCACACATTACTGTATCACCGACTCATGCTTTGGGGGGCAACACAAATCATTCTAAAATAATTAATAGGTGTTAAAAATGTTTACTCAGAATCCCAAATGCAATTCTTCACCGGTTATTTCCTTGATCATATGATCAATCGTTTGGTAGGATCCTATAACCAATCATCACATATCTTTTTTTATTTTCCCTATAGTCAAAAACCCTAAAAATATTCTAATTGGAATACTTTAAGGTCAAGAAAAAAGATGCACATTTTCTACCAAGCGCTGGATTAAAGAAGGAATGGATCAATTAATTTTCAAAACTGTTATTTTGGTCAATATGAATCAAGCTCTTACCAATTGAAGCATATCAATTGAAAAGATGAATCACCGCTGCATGCAGATTATGTGATTTGATAATACCACTAAAGTTCATTGTGTATGCCAATACTCAGCAGAAATGAGAACAAAATATCTTTTATTCTGCTTTAATAAAATCTGTATACTACTCTGTGTCATCTGTTTTTTTCAGAATGGTAAGAAGATCCGTGTCATTCCGCTCAGCCCAGCCAACATACTGCTGTCTCATGGACACAGAAAACCCAGCAGCTGGCCTGGCAAGGAGCCTGTGACTACCAGGGCCAACCCGAGGCAAGGTGCAGCCGTCTGAGCCCAGAGCCTGGAAGCTACACTCACTGAACGCCTGAAACAGGAAGTGAAATCTGACTGTGAATCCAATCTGGAAGTGAAACCTGGTGATTTCAAAGCCAGTTGAGCAAGAGCCAGGAAATGATACCTGCACTGCATTAAGGTATACATATCTGGAAAAAAAGGCAAACTTAAGAATTCTAAATCGCTTCAAGCTCAAGTGCAACAATGTGACTTTGTGTTAGGTCAAAGAAATATTGGCATACAGACAATGACCTCGACACACTATCACGTCACCTCCCGTCTTTCTGTGAGCTTTTCTTGCTCAGTGTTCGTATGTCAGTGACATTTCAAGGCTGATGAGTGGCCTTCGACATACACACAGGGTCAGACAGTTAGCACATGTGCAAGCCCCACGGCAGAGAAACCTGAGCCTGCTCTCGGCGTGTGACATGAGAAACCAGCGTCGTTCTCCCAGGTCGCCGGACAGAGAGGAACAGGGAGCTAGAGGGCAGAGAGCAGGGAAGCTGGGGAGAGGGAGCTAATCTGGTAATTCTGTCTGCTGCTGCTGCTAACTCCACCAGCTCTGGAGAGGTTGAGACAGAACAACACAAGATAACCAGAGTTATGAAAACCTCAGGGATTGCCGCAGAAGGGCGGACGTGGGGGAAAAACGAATAGATGGAAGGATTATTTGGACTGGTGTAGTGAAAGCTGGCTGCTGGCACGCTCTGGGTCTACCCGTCATGATAAAGGCACCAAGTTGAATTGTAGGTCATGGATAGGTGTCACTCTTGCCGTTTCAAGAGGCTCGAAGAGGGGCCTCTAATGCTTTCATTGCAACAATAACAAGGGGTTGGCTGCAGATCCAAACAAGGGACATACAATAAGTGATAAGAACCAGATGGGCCAAATAATGGCTGACTTTAGCATATTACAGAAATATTGTATTTGGTGTACTACATATATATTTGGTAGTCCCGATCAGTGCATATCTTGCTTATAAATAACAAAAGTTAATATGGCTAAATGTTATATTTTAGTATCATCAATGAATCCTATAAGTGCTTGAAAAGCATTACTCACTATGTCAAACCAACAACCCCCAAACCCAAACTGATAACCTGAATCTGAAATGTTTTTAGCTGATCCTTTAAGTTTGTGTAGCCCGCACCTTCAATGTTCGGTACACTCTCAATACTTCCAATTAAACCCAAAAAAAGCTATAAAAGTGTACTCTACCTGCTGAGCACTTAACAGCAGACAAACAATTTAGCAACATGACGGCCAACAAAGATTTAGCAGCTTGAGAGCCAGATATATCCCTTAGGAGTTGGTAAAGTCCAAAGACAGAGCTTCAAACACAACTTCAAATTAATTGTCCACCAGAAAGCAATGACAAGATTATTTTAACACTTTTAAGTATGTCCTTGGGTTATAATTCTTAAAGAATCTTAAAAATATGTGGTGCTAATGAGATTTTGTTTATGTTAAATTTCTATGAAAAAAATCTGAATATCAGCTTCTCAAAGTATCAATCTCAATCAATCAACAACTTTATCAATCCCGCAAGGGGCAATTGGTTATGAGCAGCTTATGTCATGTACACAGGCAGGAACATACAGGAAGAAAACACACAGATACACCCGGGAGCAGAGATTTAGATCATTCCAATTTACACGATAAGTAGTTCATAGCATCACAATAATAAATAAATAATCAAGTTAAAAAGCCTTTCAAGAATTCAAAAGTTTGAGTGCTGAGAGGATGAATGATTTTGAAAAGCGATTTGTCTTAAGAGCAGGTACACTGTATGCCCTATCGTGAGTAAAGCACATCAGTAAGTAAAGCACAAAATAATTGACCCGACTTTAGCTTTGCAAGTTTGTGTGAAATGGCATTTTAGTGGCTTATCTCACCTCTCCAGCCACAAAGAACAGCAGCGGCATTTCCTCCTCCTTGGCTTTGTACTTGGCCATAATCTTTTCCGCTATTGGCTGAATCAGCTCCTTGGCTGGCTCCAGTTCACCTTCCTCCTCCGCATCTGAACGAACCAGAAAAGAGACACAGAAAGAAGTTGAAAGTCTGGAAAAAAAAGCCATCTGGGAGAAGAAAAATGCATGGGAAGCAAGGAATTGGAGATGACTGGTGGACAGATAAGTGAGGACATTAAAGAAAGTGTGGTCTTTTGTCTTGTTTTGTAATCCAGTTATACCGCAAGAGGCCAGGGTGGTCTTATATTTTGAGGATCATCACTGTCAAACTGGCCTTTAGTCCATTTCAGTCCGTGTACATTTTAATATCATTCTGAAACCTCTTGCTATTCCTTTCTTTCTACATTCTGTATTTGCATATACATAGATAAATACTAAATCATTTCCCAAAGACCTTTGGACCTATCAACGCTTCAAGCATTTTCCACAGTGTCTGACATTCAATATGGTCCACATAAATGCCACTCCATTCAAGCACACGGAGCTCCTGTGCCCCATGTGGAGCTGCAGAGGCTGCATAAAAAATGCCCGTCCACTCACCCACAAACAGGACGAGGCAGGGCCCCTCGTGCAGCTGCACGGCGTTGGACTCGCTGAGTTCCAGCACAGGGCGAGGGTGCCATGGAAAGAGCCGGCACTCTGGGTCGTTCAGCACCTCCACACGGCCCTGTCGCGAGATCATGTGACCCTCTGTGTCCAGCAGAATCAGTGTGGGAATACCTGGTGTGGAAGGAAGAGGAAGAGAAGGTGGTTGGAAAAGGAAAGCAGGAAACGAGCAACAGCGTGGGAGGTGATTAGGGTAATTTTGGTAAGTGTTTGCTTCATGACGCAGACTGCTCCCTCTCCCGCTGTGATTTTCTTTGTTGTATGGATGTTTTTTACCCTTTTTTTTTTACCCGTTTCTGCCTCTATGTCTGCTTGTATCTGTTATCTACCCTTCTTTTGACCACATGTGATTGACTCACACCATCCTTTTGATCAAAACCTTGTGCCCTATTGACAGTCTTATCAAAAACAGACACCATGTGGGACCATACGTGTACTTGAGAGAGTGTGTTCCTGTCTGCGCATGCGGTCTGAAGTCAACAGAGGTGGGGGCCATACTAAACTGCATTGATTTAAAATGTGGGAGGGGGGCAGTGTTGACTCATCTTCCAGGCATTCCTCACATATTTTGCAGGAGAAGCTTAGAGCCAGCTCTTGCTAAGTACACACACACACACACACACACACACACACACACACACACACACACACACACACACACACACACACACACACACACACACACACACACACACACACACACACACACACACACACACACACACACACACACACACACACACACACACACACACACACACACACACACACACACACACACACACACACACACACACACACACACACACACACACACACACACACACACACACACACACACACACACACACACACACACACACACACACACACACACACACACACACACACACACACACACACACACACACACACACACACACACACACACACACACACACACACACACACACACACACACACACACACACACACACACACACACACACACACACACACAAATCAGGAGAAATAGAGCGAGGCGAAGCACTTCCGTAGCGGGCAAGACTGTAAACTTGATAAGCAGCCCACATTCCTCCAGCAGCGAAGCAATCCGTCAGCCATTGCGCCAGTGTTTCGGTGAGTGGTGTAAAAAAGCCTGGAATAAAACATTTATCTTGACTCTCTCCTTTCAGCTTGAAGATCAGGAAGTGGTTTTGTACCTTGTATTCCATAAAGTCTGTTGAGTCGTGACCGGCGACCCTCGTCCAAATACGGCACGGCCAACCAGGGCATCTCGCTGAAGTACTGCTTAAAGGACTCCTCTGACCTGGAGAGGAAAGCACCAAACAGATGGTGATTGAATAGAAAATAATGATTCTCTTTATTACATAGACCAATGTATGTGTCAACAAAAATTATCTTTTCTAGATTGGTGAATTTTACCTGTCAGCGCTGACAAACACGATCTCAAACTTCTGACCCGCCTCTTTGACGGTTTGATATGATTCCACCAAGACCCGGGTCAAACTGCGGCAAGGAGGGCACTGATGGAGAGAGAAGAGGGGGGAAAAGGGATTGTTGAAGGGAGTGAAAATACAGTACATACAAAAATCAAGTACGATGGGTTGCTGCAGCAGCTTCCATTACTTTGGGTATTTTCAAAATATCTTTCCATGTGACACTGGATATATTATGTCAAGCATATGATTCCAATGATCCAGTCATGAATACTCATCAAACTGACACAAAGGTACTGTGGCAGTGTGAAGTACATAGCGTCGATCAATACATTGCTCATTGATTGACCACTTCCTCTGTTACTCAAAAGAAGTAAATGCAGTTTATTACAGTTATGCTGTATTATAGTTTGCACAATGTGGTGTCAATACTTCTTTGTATTAGTCATGTGGGCTATTCTTTGATGATGTTAGTGACTACACTTCTAGCTTCAGTTTTATTTCAATGACTTAAAAGAAAAATTCCTTAACACTGCAGGCCAAAAAGCAAATGTGTGCCAAAAAAGAAAAAACCTTCTGTGTTAATGGATTCCAAGTCTAGGTACTGGCATTTCATGCGGATAGATTTACACGAGTAACCAGGGGGAACGTGGTGTATAAAGAAAACCCAAATAAACTCCTGTAATGACTTTTGTGACTTGTTCTATTCAATTTCGTAAGGGTCTGGGGTTAGAGCCAGCCTCCAGGCGTCTCCTCTCTCTGAGGCTGCGGCTCTGGCAGCTGCTGAGCCGACTGGTCCCTGTGGCCTGCTGCATCTCATCAGGAACAGTCCTCCTTTCACGCATCAACGAGTCATGACCTTCCCTGGCTATCAGCAGGTCCAGCAGTAAAGAGACAATAGGGATGATGTCATTGGGGTGGGGAGACCAATGCCTACTTTTAAAAAGGTCCAGAGGTGGTGGTGAAAGGACTGACAGGGATAGCTAAGCACAGTCAGTGTAAACACGCCAACACAATGGAGTCGCCTCCACCCGGCTGCTACTCTTCTCTTATCAGTCTTGACTGACTGCTGTCTCTTCCTGGTCCGCTCTGCTAGTCATATCTTTCTTTTCCCAATGTTTAGATTTTTCTGGCAGCTACAAGGCCAGAAATAAAATAAAAACATGCTTCTCTTTGTCCTTTTTCTCTGCTTCCTGTACTCACCCAGTGTGCCGAGAAGTACACTCCCACGTAGTGTCCCTCTAGAGAGGTGCCGTCTGCCGTTTGCCTGTTGTTCCTGAGCAGAGGCCCTGCCACCACCTCGGCAAATGGCTTTGGCCCCCAGGGGAACTCCAGGCCTGGGAGAGGGTAGGGGGGCAAAGAGAAGAGATGGATGGAAAAGAAAAGAATCAGTAAGAGGAAGATAATAAATCAATCTAGCTAGTCTGTGAAACTGTAGCACAGCCATTCTGAGCTATGCTAACATTAGCATGCTCACAATGAAAATGTTAAAATGCTGATTTTTACTAGGTATAGTATTACCATGGTGTACATTTCAGTTAAGGAGGCTAATAATAATAATAATAATAATAATAATAATAATAAGATGAAGCTGAAAAGAATGTTACTTGTAATTTGTCATAAACCAAAATACTGAAGACAATCAAATGTTGACCTCATGTTGGTGCTAGATAAATAGTAAGGTGTATTACAAATCAAATAGTTGTCAAAATATTTGCGTCTGGACACGGCACCAGAGTAGTTTAAGAACATGTGTCAGGCAAGTTGGTGAACCGAAACACTTTTTTTAGTCATTGATTCATCCAAATCCAAGGTGACATCTTCAAAAAGGTCCTGCTTTGTATGACCAAAGACCATTGATAATCAATTCACATTCGATGAAAATGTTGGCATTTTCTTCACTTTTTTCAAATTATCCAAAAAGATAAATGCATTTTTTAAATGATTAAATTAGTTATCACTTAATAAATGTGTTGCCTATTCTATACAACTTAAAACCAGACATTGTTTATTTCCGGTTCTTGGTTAACAAAAAGTTCTGTATACATTACATACAGGTTTTTTTAAATCACATCTAGTACTGTAAATACAGCCATGCTTCTTGAGCAAATACAGGTTGCAAGGAATACTTCCCTCCAGCTCTCTTCCGCACTTTATTGTTACCATCAAGCTTTAGAGATGTATTTGGAACTGAAAAAGGAGGTACTCATAAAAAACCTTGTATGGCTGCATCATAATGGGCTCTTTATGCAAGCGTGATTGTCCAGGGATTCATTAGGCGGGAATGACACGTTTGCACCACGCAGACACAGCCTTTTATTGTTGTCCTGATTGTAAAAGTGCACTCTTTCCGCTGCAGGCTAGTCTGCCGCCACTCAAGTTCGGTCTTTCATGGAGAGTGAAAGGCTGAGAGCCCTGAATCGTTCAAATGCCCCTCCCAGTCTCGATGCATAGCAAACTCTTAATTCCATATCCCTCTTCCAAGCTGTAGCTGAATTGATTTGTCATGTCAGAAACTACTCCTTGTCTGCCTTTCCAATAATATGAAAATGAAAACACATCAAAATGTAAAAAAAAGAAAATAATTGGGAGCCCGTTAAATGGTTATCCGGCTACATCTAGTTTGGAAGAACAGCTAATGATAATTCTGCAGGCTGGGACTGGCTTTCACTAGCCAGTGAGCAAAATGTGTCACAATCCTCATGTGAAACCCATTCTGCTTCACCGCAGCACTTCCACAGAGCCGCTATTCTCTCTTCTCTCATGACTAATGAGTTATTTCACGCTGACCTAGCTGGACCTAAAAAGGTAATGCTTTTAAAATGTAGATCTTCACAGCCACAGAGGACGTCCTGTACACTCTTGTTAATTCCCTGCCTTTACTTCAAAGTGCAGAAATGTTAGGGTTTTCAGATGAGGGAGTGAAACATGGCCACGCTATAATATTTATCCAGCACCCTAATTACGGCAGCATCAACACAAACACGTAATCGCAAAATGTTTTGTCCAAATGCTGAATGATGTGGCAGTATTTCCACTGGGAACTCTGAGCAGGCATTTGGTAAACATCATTACAGAGAATGAGTGTTGTGACTGTGTGTATGCAGGTGTGACTTCTGTCCTCATCAACATCTTGGTTTACTTTCATTTCTGAAGCTAATCGAACATATCTATGTTGGGTACAACACACTGTGGTAGTTAGACCAGTTTGAATAATATATTATGTTACACTGTTAGGTTTTATTAGTATTGTTCTAACTAATGTTACTTTAATATTAAAGTATCACTCACAGCAGTTTCTTTATTTCACATTTTTTAAATCGCAAAAATTGGAAATTAATAAAAATAGGGGGAATAGAACTGCCAGAAATCCCCCAAAAGGTCTTTCTTTTTTTTACATTAAAGTTGCTCATTCATGCCCCCTTGCCTCAGGGGAATGTTCCTACCTGCAGTAGTTTTTATGAGGGACAGGTATAACATTAGAGTAGAAAAGCTGATGTGCAAATTGTTGCTGTTTTGATGACCAAGAATGTAACCCACGAATCCAGGGTTACAGTGGTTTAAACAAGTGTGTGAGAAATGGATGCATGTTGTTCTGTCTTTTTTACCCTTAAATGTCTATTACCTAATTTAGAGCAGGTTGTATTTTTAGGGCTGAATGGTAAGTGTCAGGTGTTAAGGTTAACCATTTATTAAAGAGGATTAAGGTCGGAGCTCGAGGTCAGGGGACAAAAATAAATCAGCATGATGCATTCACTTATAATAGCCTACATGTGTATGTGTGCGTGCTGCAGACACCACCAATCTCACCTTTAGGGTCATCTCTGACCACCAGTAGCCCATTTCGACACACCACCTTCCCCGTAGAGGCATCCACGAACACCAGAGATGGTATACTGGTTACCTTGTACTTGTTCCACAGCTTCATCTGAGATGGGGAAAAAATTAGAGTAGAAATTGGAAAAAATTGTAATGGAAAGACCATATTTAATTCAATTTCAGAGCTGGAAAAACCCGGTCTCAGTTCACTAGCGTACTAAAATACTGCAGTATTAAAAAAACGAATGGAAACAAATAAATATATAGTAGTTTAAAAGGTCAAACAGAATATCAACCTGCCCAACAAGAGTGGGAAAAGAGACTCAGGAAAATAGGTACAATAAAAGAGGATACCCTCAGTTGACTTAGAGGGGTGAGAAGCACACTGCTGAGGGTGAACTGGAGCAAAGTAATGTCGTCCTTGCTGTGTCATGAACAAGATTTAAAGCATGCTGGAAAAAAATACATTTCTGAATCCTTCTTGAATGTTGAGCAGTGCAATTATAAGAGCTTCTTGGATAGAAGATTCAAGCTTGAATAAGCATTTACGAGTGTCCTTTGACCTTTATTTTAATCATAAGAAACACGTTGTTATAAATACGACCTCATAAAGTCAGAAATGATCATTTTTAGCCTAAGATCTGTGCATTAACTGACAATGTCAGTGTAATCCTCAACATCAAAGAACAGATCAAGCATTTAACATATCTGAGACTCACTTTCCATATCACAGAGAAAAGTCCTACGCTGTGAATCGAGAACAGCCTTGTGAAGTGAGGCTGAGCAATGTCGCTGCTTCAGCAATTGCAGGAAAGGGAGAAGGAGATCCCTCACATGAAAACCAGATCCGAAATTCAGACATTAAGTGAAAATGAGAAATATAGTTTTACCTCTTTTATTTGTCAAATATCCCATAACTTAAAAGTATAGGAGAGTATACTAGCAGCGAGTTATATACAAAAGTGATTTCATCTTTGCCAGATAAACACATTTCACACTGCATCATCCCATGTAACCTGCTATACTCAGAGTAACACTTAAAGTACCCATGCAATATAAAGTATACATCTGCGCTGTCTGGATGCTGCAGTAGTTAGGGATGTAACGATATATCGAATATCACGGTAAATAAATGTCTCAATACCGTCTTGAGACTGACAAAATCTACCGCGATTAAAAAAAATTATATAATAATGTTTTTTTTTTTAAAAAACCTTTATTTAACCAGATGGTCCCATTGAGATCATTGATCTCTTTTTCAAGGGAGACCTGTCCAACATGGCAGCAAGTAGGTTACAACAGATAACACAAAAGGACATTGTATTTACAGGGCTACATGTACATAGAGACATTGACAAGTACCAACAGTATATGTATATCTCGCCCTGTCAATAAGCCTCACCTTCTTGGCAACAACTGTATTGTTTTTGAAGTGGTGGAGAGACAATGCACAGTTTTACCCACTGCTGTTACCCATGGCCAAAGCATATCTCTCTGTCCCAGCAACATCAGTACCAAGCAAGAGAGCTTTTTCCACAGCAGGGGATATTGTAAACGCCCAAACATCCCAGCTTCTACCTGGAAATGTGGACATGCTCATATTCCTAAAAGATAACCTTGATGATGCTGAGTGAGTGAGTTAGAGTTGAGTTACTTGAAAAACTAAAGTGAAACTTGATTTATTCTATTGCAGGGTCTGATTGTTATATTGTTGACACTTTAAAATACTACTATCCTACAAAAATGCTGTTCAAATCAGACTTATTATTTAATAAAAGAAAAAAAATTCATTTTCAATATCACGATAAATATCGTACCGTGGACTTTTTAAAAATTGCGATATTATCGTACTGTGAGTTTTTGGTATCGTTACATCCCTAGTAGTTATTCTAAATAAGTTCTGTGCCAAATGATGTGAGCACTGTTCGGTTAAGAAAGCCTGCAGTACGGTTACAGGTTGACAACAAATCTGATGTTCAGACTGATTAAGAGAGTGGAAAGCTTTCACAGTATATGTTTGACGCGCATTGTGTATCTCTCTCATTGCACATATAGTGTCATACAGAGGTTGACCACAGGCCCTTTCTAACAGCAGGTCAAACGGTTCGTCCACAAGACAAGACGACCCGGAGCCTCCCGACAATGTTGGTCTGGAAGTCCCTCAAAAGCAAACTGCAGTGTCTGCCACAGTCAACAGTTTTACCACACGCTCCACGCTGCTCTGGAAACTCAATCTGGTCTCACAAATTGATGGGGTTTAGGGGCATTAACTGTGACCGTCTCCGGAAAGCTAACGTGCCTGACACTGCATCTGTGTGACTGCAGCCATTTCACTTGGCCGCCTGCTGCTGTCATCCGGGGCTGATGATGTGAGATTTAGAACCGGATTTAGCCGAAAGAGTGAGAGAGGGACACAAGAGAGAAGGAACAAAAGCTGAGTGATAAGGTGATTTGTTCCGCACTTGCACTAAAATGTCAAGAAATGTATTCCATGTCAAGGCAAAGTGGTATCGGCACTGAGGAAAAAGGATTTTGGTCAGGATGCTAGCATGGCTAATAATAGAAACTGCACACAGGTTAATGTACACTCTTGTATAATAGCACTGAAGCAAATGATGGGATACTTATTTTAAGAGAAAAAGAAGATGGGTACCAAATGTAAGGCTCTCAGAGTTGTTACAGTGCTCTCAAGCTAGGGCTGCTTGATTATGGCAAAAATCATAATCTCGATTATTTGGGTCAATAATTGTAATTGCGATTATTAAATGCGATTATTCATTAACTTTAAAAACATCCATTTATTGGAGAAAAAAATGTGAACAGTATGTTTTTAACAGTTGATTGCCCAGAACTTTAAGTATAATTCAACTGAAAAACCAAAAAAAAGCAATAATAATAATAATAAAAACTATCGTTTTATTTAGATTACGTTGTTTTCGTAATCGTTGCAAACCATAATCCTAATCGCGATTAATTGAGCAGCACTATCTCAAGCAGCAGAAAAGAGACGTAAGCAACCTCAGAGGAAGAACCAGTTTTTCCTCATGTTTGCCTGGAGCTTTGGCTCTAGCTCAGAGTAGTCCTAGGATGCTAAATTCTGTAAATTGTGATCTGAGTTTAAATTGAAATGTCTGTTATGATTTCTGGGGAAGAGGAAGTCTGACTTGAAACAACAAAAGCTATATGTGTTGGAGTCTTTCACAAACAACATAATTTCAACACATAAATCTTCCTTTAAAACATCAAAGACAATAGCTATTACCCTAACATCGTCCTTCTAGTCAAATTGAGAAAAAATGAGGATCACATTCTCCAAAACACAAAGTCATCATCAAAAGCCACAGGCTGTCTATTATATCTGAGACAATAAATACAGAATGTGAATTTACATCATACTGTCAAATCTGCTCTAATCCCTTGTTTTGAGAAAAACAGCTTCCATCTCTTTGTCACTTTGGCATTGTATCGATTATGATAATTCATATCCATTTGAGGAAGTCATTTACATTTCTCTGCTTAACATCATTTTATTTTACGCAGAAGATTAATCCATCACAGATTTCTGTTGGAGAAGTATAAAACGTTCCGTATCAAAATTCACAAGGAAACTTCTCACAGGTTGTCTTCACTGCATCAAGATTGCATGTCGCCATCTGGCTTTCTCTAACGGCCCGTCCACACAGCGAATTTATTCTGTGCGCGCTCGAAACTTTTGTGCAACAATCCTGTCAAAATCCCTCAACCTGCCCTCAACCAATAGGAGGCCAGGTGTCCTTGCGTGTGCGTTCGCTTTACTTATTACAGCGTCCCGTAAGGGCGGTTACTCTTTGGGTTATAAACTCCCGCCCTCCACGGCTTTATAACATGGCATGGACTTCACTTGTTTGATTCGAGCGCGCACAGAATAAATCTGTAAACACTAAACGGCAATATATCTGAGTGCAAGCGTACAGTTTGAGCAGAAGCAGAGCAGATCTAACGGCCCGTCCACACAGCAGTTTAGACGATTCTTCCACCGCTTCCAACGCTTCTCTGCCCATTGACTTTGAATGGGGATGACGTCACTTTTCCTCGCTTGTCGCCGAACTGCATTGTGGGGGAGCGAAGCGAAGATTTCCAGGATTTCCAGGATGTTCAGGATTCAAAAGTTGAACAATGTTCAACTTTTGAAGCTGAGCTGGAAGCGTCAGCCAATCAAACCCGTTTATGCAAATCTGACAGTTGAAGCTCTAGCCAATCAAACCGCGTGTAAGCACGCAGAGAGAGCCAGACCGCAGTTCATTTCCTCATATTCCAAACGAGAAATTACGGTAGCAAATCACCCGGTTCTTTACGACCAGACTATTTACCGGGATACAAACCGGAGGAACCAGGCATGGAGGGAGGTGCCAGAGACAGTGGGTGAAACTGGTAGGTTTTCGCCTGTTTGGGGAGTTTATATATATATATATATATATATATATATATATATATATATATATATATATATATATATATATATATATATATTAGGGCCGGGACTCGATTAAAAAAATTAATCTAATTAATTAGAGGCTTTGTAATTAATTAATCGAAATTAATCGCATTTTTAACCGCATATACATATTTGACCTAAGAACAGTGAGAAGCAATTTTTTTTCACATGGATTTTAGTATACCATTAGGCGCATTCACACCGCAGTACTTTTACCACAAAGGTTCATGAGAACTTAGTTCATGAGAACTCTTTGAACCTGGGGGTGGATTAGGCAAATGAAGCCGCTGACGTCACTTCTTCTTCTTCTGCTTTGGGTTTACTGGCAGGCCGCAAATCACTTCACGGCGTATACTGCCGCCCAAAGTCCCCGGCCGCAAGTCCCCGGAGTTGGGGACTGGCTTCAGTAGAAGCTGCTGGGAGTCCCAGCAGCCTTCCGAGTAAATCGCCAGAACGCCGACACCTCCTCATCTCCACCGCTCCCATGTTTTATTTTGTGTTGCCATAAGTTAGTCTCTCTGCGTTTCTGCGCTGGGCTAATGCTAATAATGCTAATGCGAGGATAATAAAATGGCGGCTTCACAAAACTTTTTGGGAGTTTTACGGGGCGTGGTTTGCAATCCGCCCAGCCAATC